GAGTGATTGCCACCTTGGAAAAATGCCTGTTTCGTAGAAGAAATCTCATTTGCTAATGCCATTTGCTAATATGCCTTTGGAAACAGCAAACTCATCTCTGTCATGTTTTTTTTTTTCTTTTTTTGTAATTCTCTTTTTATTGTTTTTTTTAGTACAAACAATAATATCACTCAGGATACAAAATGCACCATACAAGTGAAAAAGCTCAAAACACAAAGAAAACGGAACTGAATCAGACCCTACCAATAAAAGTAAATAAAAATAAATAAATGAATAACTAATTTAATAATAATAATAATTACATGAATAAGTAATAAAAAAAATAAAATAAAAAAAATAAAAAAGAGAAGTCACAGAGTAAGCAGTATCATCATCAAAAATCGGCATATAACATCATTACAAATCCCAATGCATATCACATTTTCCTTATAAAGCTTCGCTATTCACATCACATCTCATTCACAAGTTGCATAAATCCACATGGTCAGACATAATCACAAAGAAAATACCACCCAGGCCGTCCCAGGAAGGAAATAAGGCACCAAAAGAGCAAGAGAAAGAGCCTTAACTGTATTACCTTATTGTCAATCAGTCAATCATTCAATATCATGTTTAAGTAAGGGCCCCATATTTTAAAGAATACCTCCAGTTTGTTGTTCAGTTTAAAAATGAGTTGTTCATAGTTTGCCATTTTAGTCATTTCTCCACACCATTCATTAAAAGGGATGGCATTTTTTGTTTTCCAGTGCCTAAGCACTATCCAGCCAGTGATAAGAGCTAATCTACACCATAAAACTTATTGGCCTGTCAAACCTGCCCCTTCTGGTATTATACCTAGTATGCAGAGTGTTGGGCTTTGTATCATTTCAGCACCAAGTACCTTGTTAAGGAAGAATATTATATTATTCCATAAATTCCTGGTCATTTGACAATCGTATAACATGTGTTTAAATGTACCTTTGTCACTATCACATCTCCAACACAAATCAGATTCCCGTAGCTTGAGTCTTGCCATCTTACATGGAGTCCAGTAGCTCCTATGAATAATCCTATAAGTGATTAATCTCATCTGTATTTCTCTTGATGTTTTACACCAGGAACCCACAATTTCTCTGAATCTCTCATCAGTTATTTCTCTTTCTAAATCCTCTTCCCAGGCTCGTTTGAGACCACTGAGTTTTGGTGGGAGAGATTGTCTCATAGTACTGTAAAATCTCAAAGCCCCACCCTTCACCTGTTGTCTGTTCTGTAACATTTCTTGTATACTAGTTTGATGTATTAAGGGAAGTTTTCTTGTCATGGACATTATACAACTTCTCAGCTGGAGATATTTCCAAAAGTCTTTCTTAGGAATTTTATATTTAATCATTATCTGTCCAAATGACATAAAATTATCATCCTCGAAAACATCATCAATAAAAATTATACCTGCCTCGACCCAAGTTCTCCAATAAAACGTCTTCTTGCCCACTTTTAAGAGTTTGTTGTGCCAAAGAGGCGATTTTTTGGTAAAAGAAGGCTTTTCCCCAATAATTTGGTGTGATATTTTCCAAGTGTCCCTTGCAAACTCAAGCAATGGGTTCCTAAATGGTATTTCTCCTCTTGTTTGTGATATAAAAGCCTGTACCAGAAGGGGTTCTGTAAGTTCCTTTTCAATTAAAACCCATCCTGGGACTTGGTCTTCTGCCACATACAGTTTGGACATCTGATTCAAAGAAAAAGCATAGTGATACCAGTCAGCTCTCAGTAGACTGAGACCCCCATCCTCATTAGCCCTGCACAGTTTAATTATATTAAAAAAAGGTCTTCTGCCTGCCCATAGAAATTAATTTATTGCCCTATTGAATCTTGATAGTAGTGGGGGAGGGAATCTCAAAAATGATAAGAGTTCCACAAATCAACTATATCACGTCTTTTACCTTTAAGATGTTTATTTTGCCTAATAAGGATAGTCCTAGCTTTGTCCAATTTTGTAAAGTACTCTCAATTTTCTGAATAAGGGGGAGGAGATTTTCCATCATTATATCATTCAAGGCTGGGGTAATCTTAATGCCTAGATAAACCAAGCCTGAAGGAAGCCAGTTAAACTGTGTTTTTTCTAATCGCTGGTGGGCAAATCTTTGACAAAGGCATTGCCTCTGATTTCCCCCAATTTATCTTATAGCCTGAGATCAGAGAAAAGGAATCAATCACTGACAGTATATGAGGAACGAAAAGTTACAGTTGTAACTACGGTTCTATGAGTCCTGGATGACCGCCAGAGGCGGTGCATAAGCACTGGATAACTCCGCCCGCGCTAGCGCATGTTGAGTACGAATATCAACAACGTCACCCGTGACCCCTGCATGAACTCTGGGAGGCTATATCTTCCGGTGTCAGCAGGTGTTCCCAAAATCTGCTTGTGAATGTGCGAGGATTCTGAGTGACCAGACACTCTAGCGGTCATCCGGGACTCATAGAACCGTAGTTACAACTGTAACTTTTCGTTCTATTTCGTCCCTACTGACCGCCAGAGGCGGTGCATAAGCACTGGATGACACATACCAACAATGTCACGAAGAATCCCCCATTCCTACCTCACTGATGAGAAGTCCTGGGGCGAAGAACCACGCCCAGCGGGTGGGGAGGAGCAACACTGAGGCGATAAAAGCGATGGAACGTGGAAGGCGACGCCCAAGAAGCCGCAGCACATGTCGTCCAACGAAACACCCCTCAAAGCAGCCCAGGACGTGGAAACCCCCCATGTTGAATGGCACCTGACCCCGGCAGGCAATGGACGGCTGGTGACCCTGTAAGCATAGGAGATGGTGTCCACAATCCAATCCAACAGACACTGTTTAGAGAGGGCACAACCTCTGTTATGACCCCCATAGCACACAAACAATTGGTCCGTTCGTCGCACAGGCGCAGTGGCGTTGATGTAAGCAGCCAGGGCCCGTACAGGACACAACAACCACGCCCCACAGTCAGCTGATGGGGGGTCGAACCGAGCCAGATGAATCGACCGGTTGAGATGGTTGCGTGGCAGCACCTTTGGCAGGAACGCAACATTTGGCCAGAGAGTCATCCCTGAACCATCCGGCCCCCAACGCAGGCAGGACTCACTGACGGAGAGAGCATGCAGCTCCCCGACCCGCTTTGCTGACGTGACAGCAAGGAGAAAGACTGTCTTCATCGACAGCCACTTAAGATCAGCCTGGGCTAAAGGCTCAAAGGACAAGGAAGACAGGGCATCCAGCATCAGGGAGAGATCCCATGCTGGAACCCTGGGGGCCACCGGAGGTCGCAGCCTCAGTGCCCCCCTGAGAAAAGAGGATACCAACCGCTGGCACCCCACGGTGGCATTCTCAGTCAAAACATGTCGTGATGAAATTGCCGCCACATACACCCTCAAGGTGGAAGGAGTGCGACCGTCCTCCAGAAGAGACTGGAGAAACTCCAGAATGGTGGCGACCGTACAAGAGGTGGGATCCTCCCCCCTGTCTGCACACCAGGCAGAGAACCTCCTCCACTTGCACTCATACTGGAGGCAGGTGGATGGTGCATGAGCATGCGAAATGGTGCACATGACCGACTCAGTGCAACCAGTCAGGAGCGGGTCAGGCCCTGCAGTGGCCAGACTCAAAGCTGGAGAAGACAGTGCCAAATCCGACCCCCCAGCTGTGACAAGGAGATCCTTCCTCTCTGGGAGGTGCCATGGCGAGCCGCAGCAAAGCCTCTGCAGCAGTGGAAACCAAAGCCTCCCCGGCCAAAACGGGGCCACCAGGAGGATCCCGTGGCCCTGTTGAAGGACCCGCTGCAGCGTCGGGAGGATCAGAGGCAATGGTGGAAATGCGTATAGGAGGCTGTCGGGCCACTTGTGCCCCAGGGCATCCTGTCCTAGAGGACCATCCCTCCCTATGGCGGTCAGCTTGCCCAGCAACTGAAGAAACAGGACAAACGGCAGCTGCTTGCCTCTCCTGAAGAGGGGAAGGAGTTGGAGGATGTTGGCCACACGACGCTCTGACAGGTAGGCCCTCATGGCCACAGAGTCCAGGACCAGGCCTAGGTAGGCAGCCTGCTGGGTGGGGACCAAACAACTCTTTGCCACATTGACCGTGAGGCCCAGCCAGGCCACATGTGTCAGAAGGTGGGATGTATCCTGGATCACCTGGGCCCGGGAAGATGCGCATACCACCTTCATGCCTCTAGCCTGTAACGGCGCCAGAGCCACTGCCATGCACCGGGTAAAGACCCTGGGAGACAGGGAGAGCCCAAAGGGGAGCACCCTGAACTGATAGTGGCGGCCCTGAAAGGCAAACCACAGGAAGGGCTGATGATGAGTCGCAATGGGCACATGAAAGTACACGTCCTTCAGGTCGATGGATGTGAACCATTCACCTTACCGGGTCACGCGCATCACATCCGCTGAGGTCAACATATGGAATGGTAGAACCTTCAAGTACCTGTTTAGGCTGCGTAGATCCAAGATGGGATGGAGTCCGCCGTCCTTCTTGCCGACAAGGAAGTAGGTTAAGTAGAATCCCCCGGGTTGAAGGAGGGGGTCCACCGGTGTGATGGAGCCCTTGTCCAGGAGGGTAGACAGCTCCTGGGCTAAGGCTTGGGCCTTGGCCGAGTCATTGATGACCGTCATGTTGACCCGGCCAAAGGCCGGGGGCCGGCGTCAGAACTGCAATTTGTAATCCCGGGTCAAGGTGGCAACTACCCAGGGGTCTGGCGAGCAGGCAGCCCAGTGACTGAGCTGCTGATGCGAAAAGCAGCCGATGACCGGCCCCGTAGCCCTAGCGCCGAGGCCCCCAGCCCCTGGAGGAGCCGGAAGTGCGGCGGCCAGGCTTGAGGTCCTGAGGCTTCTGAGGTGAGGGCGCAGAGTGGAACGAAAGTCACCTGCGGACTTCCTCTCGTCCCACCGCTGGCATTGGCCACCCCAGGGAGATGGTCGTGGAGGACCCTGAGGGGCAGATGGAAAAGTCCTCGAGCTGCTTCTGGAAACAGGTGCTCTTTTATGGAAGCCGCCGCCTGGTCTCATCGGCCTCAGCGGTGTGGTCCAGTGCGTCCAGAGCAGCAGAACCAAACAGCTCCCCAGGTTCTGCTGGCACCCGGCGAAGGACCCTGCGAGTTGCCTCCGTCAGAGGTGACTGTGCCAACCAGACATGACGGCGAGTGTGGACAAGTGTCAACATCAGTCGTCCCAGCTCCCTCATCTGGTAGGCAAAAGCCTGCAGTGATACATCACAGATGTTGCGGACGGAGTCATCCACCTGTGCTTCCTGCAGGGAGGCCGAGAGAGCAAGGAGTAAGTGGGAGAGGGTGTTCCCCAAGCAGCCGACACGTGCTGCTGTGTTGTAGGCCTTGCAGACGTAATTGTTATGTCTTGCCTTTACTTGCGCCACATAACAATAATGATATAAACTCTGGTCAGCCGAACTCATGGTTTATTTCTGCACCAACATCCTAATACATCTTCACATGGCTAACCAGCCATGACAACAACTTGTGTGTACCCATAATGCCTCTCGTCTATTCTGCTACAGTGGCCGACACAGTTCAATACATAACATCTCCTCCCCTCTTACAAAAGATGTCATATTAAAGAAACAACAGGAAGGTAGTTGACTCTGCAACATTATAAACATTTACCATATCACGGTATCCACATGTTATCAACATAAACACATAGCTCAACTCATAACTCCAATGTTACCATACATCAGGTTTCTCTCTTTGTTTTTCTAAAACTGAACATGAAACCTAACTAAGGGATGAGGGTAGACTGCCTCGATCTCTGGACTGGTCCCAAGGGGATTATTCTGCCCCTGATAAGATGGGTCAGTCACTGAACTAACCTAATAACTCAGGCGTGCAGGAGAGCGCCGCTCTCTTGTGGGGTATCTGCGCCCTGCAGGAACATCCGTCTTATTAGTCACTGGCGGTACATTGTCTATATGGTCTGACAATAAGATAGGTGTCTCTGTTCCACCTGCAGCCTCATCCTGAACAGGAACAGTTATCTCTGGGACAGCAGAATGTGGTACTTGTGCAGGAAAGGGAATTGGCATGTTGACAAGTGCATCTGAAGAACCCCCAGAGAACAGCTCTGATGACACTGGTGGAGTCTGCAGAAGTTGATCGGCGTGTCTTCGCCAGACACTGTCCTTTGTCTGAACGGTGTAGGAGACCGGTCCTGTCTGAGCAATAACAGTTGCAGAAACCCACTTAGGTTCTCCACTGTAGTTCCTTGCTAAAACAGTCTCTCCTGGTGTGAAAGTTCGGTCTTTGGCATGTTTTCCTCTGCGCTTTATCTGTTTCTCTTGTTGACCTTGGACAATGTCCTTCACCGCTGTAGGCTTCAAGAGGTCAAATGTGGTGCGCAGGTCTCTCTTTAGCATCAGGTTAGCAGGAGATGTCTTTGTGGTGGCATGTGGGGTGTTACGATAGTTCAACAGAAAGTTGTGCAGTCTCTGATGTAACGTCCCTTGTCCTTTTGATGTTTTCAGTGCATGTTTTAAAGTCTGAACAAACCTTTCGGCAAGGCCGTTGGTTGCAGGATGGTAGGGAGCTGAAGTGATGTGCTGAACTCCATTGGCTTGTAGAAATGCAGACATTTCCTGAGAGACAAGTTGGGGTCCATTATCAGAAACCAACTGAGTAGGAGACCCAAAACGACTGAACATTTCACCTAGCTTTTCGATTGTCTTCTCTGTGGTTGTTGATCTCATTATAGCCACTTCAGGCCATTTACTGTGTGCATCAACAGCAACCAGAAACATTCTGTCTTCCAATGGTCCTGCGAAATCAATGTGCACACGATGCCAAGGTTCTTGTGGGAACTCCCACGGATGAAGGGGAGCTGGTGGCGGATTATTTCTGACTTTGTGGCAAGATGGACAGGTTGTAGCCATTTCTTCGATTTGCTTGTCCATGCCTGGCCACCAAAAGTAGCTTCTCGCCATTTCTTTCATTCTAACTATTCCACTGTGACCTGCATGTAGCTGTTGCAACACTTTTGCATGAAGTGACAGCGGAATGATAACCCGCCTCCCCCACAACAAACACCCGGACTGGACAGAAAGTTCCAACCTCCTCCCGAGGTAAGGCTTTAGATGCATGTCATCACCAGCAGGTTGACCTTTAACAACAACGTCCATGACTTTTGACAATTGTGGATCATTGAGAGTCTCTTTCTTGACCTGCACAGCTGAAACAGGTGCTTTTGTCACCTCACTGAAGTAGCATATGTCCACAGTGTTTGACTCAGGCTTGGTGACAGGAAGCGGCAGTCTGGATAAACCATCCGCGTTGCAATGAGAGTCTGATTTGCGATACTTGATATCATATGAATGTGCAGACAACAACAAAGCCCACCTCTGCAGTCTTGATGCAGCCAGAGATGGTATCCCTGTATGTGGTCCAAGGATGGTTGTGAGAGGTCGGTGGTCAGTTAGGAGTGTGAACTTCCTCCCATACAAGTACTGATGAAATTTTCTGACTCCAAAAACGATGCTCAATGCCTCTCTCTCCAACTGAGCATAGTTAGTCTCTGCCTTGTTCAGTGTTCTTGATGCGAATGCAATCGGCCTTTCTTCGCCATTTGGCAGGATGTGTGAAATAACAGCTCCCACTCCATATGGAGATGCGTCACAGGCAAGCTGGAGCGGAAGTGAGGGGTTAAAGTGAGTCAGAACCTCTGATGTGGTCAACACGCTCTTAGCTTTCTGAAAAGCATCCTGACAATTTGCTGTCCATTTCCATGTCTTATCTTGGCGTAGCAGCTCATGTAGCGGCTGTAGCAGTGATGCCAAGTTGGGAATAAAACGTCCGTAATAGTTCAACAATCCTAAGAAGGATCGCAGTTGGCTGACGTTCTGAGGTGGAGGTGCATCCACAATAGCTGCGATTTTTGATGGTGCAGTATGGAGTCCTTTAGCATCAATCACATGTCCAAGATACTCTACAGATGGTTTAAAGAACTCACATTTCTCCTTGCGAACTCTCAAGCCATATTCTTTCAGTCTTTGTAAGGTAGCATCCAAGTTGCGCAGATGCTCCTCATCGTTTGCTCCTGTGCAAAGTATGTCATCAAGGTAGCATTGCACTCCTGGCAAGCCACTGAGGATCTGATCCATTGCCCGCTGAAACATCGCCGGGGCTGAGGTGATGCCAAAAGGCAGTCTGCAGTACCTGAAAAGTCCTTTATGCGTGTTTATAGTCAACATTTCACGTGACTGCTCCTCCACATGCATTTGCAGGTAAGCTTGGCTGAGATCTATTTTGCTAAATTTTTCTCCTCCACTCAGTCCCGCAAATAAGTCATCAATCCGGGGAAGGGGGTACTGCTCTACTGTTAGAACAGGATTAAGGGTCACCTTAAAGTCCCCACAGGTCCGAATACCACCATCTTTTTTTTGCACTGGAACAATGGGTGTGGCCCACTCACTTGTTGTCACAGGCTCTAAAACCCCATTCTTGACCATGGCATCCAGGTCTGCTTCCACCTTTGGTCTAATAGCATATGGTACTGGTCTCGCCTTCAAAAACACAGGTTTGCTTCCAGGTTTTACATGCAACTTCACTGTGATATTTTTCATGCTGCCTAATTCCTCACGAAAGACCTCTTCATGTTTTTCCAGTATCACCTGCAGTTGAGTGGAGCTGGGTGACAGCTTCCTCACCTCTTGCCAGTTAAGGCGAATTTTTTTTAGCCACACACGCCCCATTATGGCTGCATAGTTTTTTTTGGTGACATAAACTGGAAGTCTCACAGTTTGGTTGTTGCACTGTACCAGTACATCTGTCATTCCTTTCATGTGCACTGGGTGTCCCGTATATGCTCTGAAGGTTGTGTCGGAGGGACGCAGTGGAAGATGTTTCATACATTTTCTGTATATCTTATAAGACACTAGTGAAGCCTTCGATCCAGTGTCTATTTGCATTTTCACTGAATGTCCTTCCAACTTTGCTTTAGTCCAAAACCCGTCTGAGCTCTCATCCACATTCATTATCCGTACCATATTTACTGTAGTGGACATTTCCTCTTCTGAAGAATCACTATTTCTCTCCTTTCCATGTTCAAGTGTGCAAACATGTTTTTTCTTTTTATATTTTTCACTGTCCTTTTTATTGTCAGTCTTTGAGCTTTTGTCTCTGCTCTTTTTGTTTCTGCATGCCCGCATCACATGGCCTTTTTTTCCACAGTTATGACAGTCCATTTCTTTGCACCAGCATGCAGACGCCAGGTGACCAGATTTCCCACAGCGAAAACATGGGCCTTGAGAGTTTTGGTTACCACTGCTAAGTTTGTGCACTTTCCCCGTAGCATGTAGCTGTTGGGCTTCTTTAGAGGCCATTTCCATGGTTACACTAATATTAATGGCTTTTTCAAGAGACAAATCACTTTCAGTTAGCAATTTCTTCTGTGCTGCTTCATTTCTTAATCCGCAGACAAGCCTGTCTCTTAATGTGTCATTTAAGACATCCCTGAACTCGCAATGTTCTGCTAGTTTGCGTAAAGCTGCAACAAACATGGTAACAGACTCACCCTCCTCTTGATTGCGTCTGTGGAATCTGAATCTTTCAGCAATCACCAGTGGTTTCGGAGAAAAGTGGTTGGTTAAAGAGTCCACAATTTCTTTGTATGTTTTGCTTCCTGGCTTTGCAGGCTGCAGGAGATTACGAAGCAGATTAAAAGTCTTTGGTCCCATCACACTTAGGAAAGTGGGCACTATCTTTTCATCACTTATTCCATTTGCTGCAACAAAGTAGTCAAACCTCTCTGTATAGGAGCTCCACTGCTCGATGCTCTCATCAAAGGGACCGATTGAGCCGATAACTCCAGCCATTTCTTTTATGCTCCTGGTTACCGCTCAGTCTCTCTGGCAGACGATCCCCTTCAGACTACACACAGCATTTTCTCCTCATTGTTACTGACCGCTGTCCACCTGTACACTCCTCCCCTCGTCGCTGGCAGCACCGATAAAACTAGCACAGTCACACGCGGCGGCTAGCATTAGCATGTAGCTCCCGCGACGAACACAGGAAAAATCCTTACTTTGCCGTGGACAAAATGCGCCGGTCCAGACGTCCTCGTCGCCACTTTTTGTTATGTCTTGCCTTTACTTGCGCCACATAACAATAATGATATAAACTCTGGTCAGCCGAACTCATGGTTTATTTCTGCACCAACATCCTAATACATCTTCACATGGCTAACCAGCCATGACAACAACTTGTGTGTACCCATAATGCCTCTCGTCTATTCTGCTACGGTGGCCGACACAGTTCAATACATAACAGTAATCATCAGTGACCTTACACTGGGCAGGAGGGCACTTAGGGTCAGACTTCATCGCCTCATCTGGAGCCACAATCAGGGCTGCGATTGGAGGCTCAACCGCCGGCATGTGGAGGAGCCCCACCGACTCGGCATCCTCCATGGCAGCCAAGACCCATTCATCTGACCCCGGCCTGGTGAGGGCTGAAGTGTCCCTCCAACAGGAGTGCAGCTCCTTCAGGAAGTCGGGAGAATGCGGCACCGTAACCTTCGCCGAGGGAGGGTTGCGCCTGTGAAATGCACTGGGAGCCTGCCCCTGACTCGGGGCATCCAGCTGCAGATGAGCCAGGGCTGTCCGGATGATCGCCCCCATGGAAGAGTCATCAGACCCCTGCCAAGAACTCTGGGCTGAGGAATGGGAGGAGCCTGCTGCCATCAGAGGGGCCGGACTACCCTGTGAGTCCCGAAACTGACTCGACGAAGCTGCGATTGGAAAGAGCATCGTCCAGTGGCAGTGGTGACTCCAGCAGGGGGCGCCACCCCACCAGCAGGCTGGAGACTCATGGGGAGCACCTTCATTTGCTCCATATCAGCAGTCAAGCGGTCAGCTGTGGAGGAGAGCTGGTCCTTGGCAGTCGCCTTCCTCCTTTTCGCAGGAGCACCGTCCCCACCCCGTGTGGCAGACCTCTTCTGCGCAGGGGCCCCACAGAAGTCTGCCCTCTCAGACTGGAAGGAAGGGAGGCAGGCCAGAGGATCCAGTTGGGCCAGTCTGGCCAACCTCACTGACTGAGGCATGATACAGCAGTTCAATTCAATTCAATTCAATTTTATTTATAAAGCCCAATATCACAAATCACAATTTGCCTCACAGGGCTTTACAGCATACGACATCCCTCTGTCGTTAAGACCCTCACAGCGGATAAGGAAAAACTCCCCCAAAAAAAACCCTTTAACGGGGAAAAAAAACGGTAGAAACCTCAGGAAGAGCAACTGAGGAGGGATCCCTCTTCCAGGACAGACAGACGTGCAATAGATGTCGTACAGAACAGATCAGCATAATAAATTAACAGTAATCCGTATGACACAATGAGACAGAGAGAGAGAGAGAGAGAGAGAGAGAGAGAGAAAGAGAGAGATGCAGGTAATGACAGTAGCTTACAACAACATTAATGAAAGTAATAATATTATAGTTATAGTTCTGGCTACTGTGGTACAATATGTTGAAAGTATGTATTAATATCTGACAGTATACTTGTGTGACAATAGTCATATGTGTATAATAACAGTAGAAGTATGACTAATGACTAATGATGGCAGCAGCAGCAGGAGGCATCTGGCAGGACCACGGCAGCAGCACAACCACACACGTCACGCTGTCCAGGCACCGCTGCGGTATGAGTTATTCAGTTCATGCAGGCTTTGTCAGTGAGGGCCTCCTGCAGGTGGTCCACGCCAAGACAGGCCACACAGTGGTCATGGCCGTCCTCAGGTTCAAGGGAGGTCATGTAGCTGCCACAGGCGTGCTCCATCTGTAACCATGTGGAGAAAGCCAGCGAGGAGCCCAGAAAAGTGTGACACTGCCGGGAGCGGAAGCGTCAACGCAGTAGAAAAGACCACCAGACCAAGTTGGGAGAGGGGGCGGGCACGCAACCGTCACCAACAAGGTTATCAGCCTTCTTACCTTCTTTTTTTTTGTCAATTTATTATTATTATATTTTTTTTTAACTATATATATATATACATATATATATATATATATGTCTCACAAGCACAACTGAGCTGGGAGAGGGTAGCGGAAACACCACCGTCACCAACCCAAACTGCAAAAAAAAAAAAAAACAGAAAACATTTATCAGAATCCACTTACACTGACCTGCTCACACAGCCTTCAGTAGCTGCAGGCAATGCTGGATGCGGGGGGCGGGGACGCCACCACACTGGCAAAGCCACAATACCAGAGCAGGGAAAATTACATATAATCGTGCAACACGCTGGCCACAGCCTCTTGGAGGATGAGCGTCAGCCCGTTACTCCCACCACAGAGGCACGAGGCTGCACAGGGCCAGCAACACGTGAAATCAACAGCAAACGACTTACGTACACCTCGACACGCGATTCGCGAGAAGAATGAGGGAACAGATCATCTGCTGACACCGGAAGATATAGCCTCCCGGAGTTCATGCAGGGGTCACGGGTGATGTTGTTGATATTCGTACTCGACATGCGCTAGCGCGGGCGGAGTTATCCAGTGCTTATGCACCGTCTCTGGCGGTCAGTAGGGACGAAATAGAACAGCTATTTCTGGATTCGATGATAATAACAACACATCATCTGCGCATAATAGCAGTTTATGTTCTGTTTTTCCAGCATGAATTCCCCTAATATTTGTGCTGCATCTAATGGCGGCCGCTAAAGGCTCTAATACTAACGCAAAAATCAGTGGGCTAAGGGGGCACCTTTGCCTCGTGCCTCTATGAAGGTCAAAGCTTTTAGACATCTTTCTATTTGTTAGTACTGAGGCTTTAGAATTGCTATACAGTAGTCTTACCCAATTTATTAATGAAGACCCTAATCCAGACCTATGTAACAACTTGAATAAATACCTCCACTCTACTCTATCAAATGCTTTCTCAGCGTTAAGCGAGAAAGCGACAGTAGGTTCGATGTTATTCCTTGTATGCCAAATCAAATGTAATAACCTGCGTACATTGTCAGCAGAAGACCTCCCCCTAATAAAATCCAGCTGGTCCGGGTGAATAAGACTGGGCAAGTGTTTCTCCAGTCTTAAAGCTAGAACCTTAGCCAATATTTTGGCATCTACATTAATAAGTGAGACTTGTCAATAGCTTCTGCATTGCTGGGGGTTCTTGCCTTTTTTATGTATGAGTGTGATCACTGTGGATTGCATGCTCTCTGGCATACAGCCTTTGTTAAGTGCATCCTGAAATACTGTGTGTAGCTTTGGTGCCAAGATGTCAGAAAATGCTTTATAAAAATCTGTGGGGAAGCCATCCCCCAGGGGACTTCCCAGAATTCAGATCTTTTATCGCTTGCTGGATTTCTTCTAATGTAATATCTCCCCCAATTTCTTTCTGTATTTGTTCTGACAGGGATGGCAAGAGTACCGCTGACAAAAAATTGTCTATATCCACCTCTGTTTTGGTGCACTGTGATGTATACAACAATTGGTAAAATGTCCTAAATGTCTCATTTATCTCCCCACTATCTGTGGTTAAGCCCCCGTCATCCTTTAACACAGATGTTATTAGTGTTTGATTGTATTGTTGTTTTGCTCGTTGAGCCAAAAACCTGCCAGCTGTTTCCCCTTGTTCGTAGTACCTCTGTCTACACCTAAACAATGCATATTCTGCTTTCTTCTGCAGGATGGAATTTAATTCGTATTTTAGTTTATTTAGATGAGACAGAACCCCCGGATTAAGTTGAGAT